GATCTACGGGTCGAGTTTAAGAGTGCGAGGAGATATACCTCCACTCACCGACATATCTTCAAGGCATATTGCTCAAGTAAGCAACAGGGACCAATCTACATCAAGAGGATTACTAGGAGGTTACTAGAGATTGTTGATGAGAATCCAGGAGACATGGTACAGAACACGACAGAAGACAGAAGTGAAGTCTCTATTTTATGTGGTGTAGTTACAGTAACCTTGACTGTTCGTAGTTACGAAATGTTACAGTTAAGAGTTAAGACTGTGACAACTAATTTACGTAGTTCCGCCTGGTGAATATCCAATAAATCGATTCATCTAATCCGGAACCCATTAATTACTTGTCGCGTTATCAGGATTTCTTTTTCCTGCGGCGCTACAGCCCCAATTTGGGCCTTGGCCTACCTCCATGAAACTCTCCGTTTCACTTCGGTTTACTAGATCTTAGATATTCGGCAGGGCTCCTTGGGCGGGTGATCAGTTCGTAGCAAGGCCTCTACCTGTACATAAACACAGAAAAACGCACATACAGACACAAACACTAAACATCCATGCCATGAGTGGGATTCGAACCCACGATCCCGGCTTCCGAGCAAGCGAAGATAGTTCATGCCTTAGATCGCTCGGCTACCGTGACCGACCGCGTTACCAGGATACGTAACAATATTATTACAAATTCCACTTAAATTTTATTTTGTAGCTTAATTAAATTAGAACGGCACTTTCAAAGGAAGAAATTAATAAATGGAATTCGTTTCGTAACTACTGCAGGGATAGCTTTTCTGACTGCACAGACTGGCCAGCCACGGAAGCCGTTAGGAGGTGCCCTCAAGACTACCACTTGCGTTCTCAGTTGCTGCGGTAAGAGGAGACGTACAAGCCATTAAGTTTCGAGGGTAACAGGCAAAATTCCGCTGGCGGACCAACAGGCATTGAACGAGTACTAAAAACGCAACATGTGCATTTTACTAATTAAAAATGAGTCTGGATAGCTCAGTCGGTATAGCGACACGCTACGGTCCGGATTAGATTCCTGGAAATGGGCAAGATTCTCTCCCTCCATAGTGTCCAGACCGGTTCCGGGGCCCACTCAGCCTCCTAGCCAACAGCTACTGGGGGATTCTTTCCTGGCGGGGACTTGAAGCCGACCACTCACCTCCAGCTAGCGACGGCCTGATCCCCCGTCCAAGGAGAACTATCGTCTGTGAAAAATGATTACGGAACTGAATAAGAGGCCAGGGCCGTGAATGTGATGGAAGAGCCAGTGAAAAAAAAAACACAACAATTACATAGGAATCTTCGCCATACATGAAGATCCAGCGATAGCCTCCATGAAACTCCAAGCCACCAACAATAGGATCGTCGACTGGGCGAAGAAATGGAGAATTAAAATAAATCAAAGTAAATCCAAGCATATTACATTCACCCTACGCAATCAAACCTGTCCGGCAGTGCAAATGACCAATGTTGTGTATGTATTTGTGTGTGTGTGTGTGTAAGGGGTGAGCCATAAAATCCGGCCCTCCCACTGTGACCTTCAATGATCTACTGTGCCTCCTCCTCTTGGATTAACACTTTATTAATCCTTCACTTCGAATGAAATGTAGGACTTTATATATGGAGGCGTCATAAAAGTCACTTGGTTCCATGAAGAACTGACCCAGGTGACAAAATCTTAAATACGCTATGGCCTCACAATCACATAGGATATGTGTGGCTGATTCATCTTCTTGTAGGCACCGTTCACAGGTTGGGTCATCTGTCAGTCCCAGTTTGAAAAGGAATGAGCAATGTTGATCTACCCCAGAAAAATTAAGTGAAATACCTGGGCATGCAACTCGATAGAAGACTGACATGGACAAAGTACATCAAAACAAAAAAGAAAACAGCTCAACCAGAAAGCGAAACAAATGCACTGGATACTTGGAAGATCAACACTATCAACTGAAAGCAAACTCTTCCTATACAAAGCAGCACTCAAACCCACATGGGCCTATGGAATTTAGCTATTGGGGCCAGCCTCCAATTCCAACATCAAAATACTCCAGCGCTTTCAATCCAAGACTCTCCAATCTATTCTGAAAGCATTTGGTACATAAACAGCCACAGGATCCAGGAAGATCTACAAATCAACACAGTGCTCAGTGAAATAAAAAGGGGAATAGCAAATATTTAAGGAAATTAGAAAACCACACAAATGCACTAGCAGCGAACCTACCAGACATTAGCGAAACTACACACAGACTGAAAATATACACCGTCCTAACTCTAAAAGACAGACCTGAGTAAAAACCCCAATACAAGAATTAAAATGGTACCTAAGTGAACAAAAAAGTAATTACTTACGCCACTGAACATATCTAATTCACGAGCCAGTACTTATTGAACATATACATTTACTGCAGAGTCTCCAGATTATGTGAAATAAATGTGGAAAGAAAAATTAATAAGGTTGTTGACATAAGATCTGACCCACCGTGGTTCGTAGAGTCAATGGAATTTCTTACGCGTGCGCAATAAGAATACATGACAGAAGAATTAATTAATGAAAACTGAGATAAATTTTAACTAATAATCCTATAAATACGCTTTGATCCGAAAAATAACGGACTTGAAAGTGCGTCAAAACAAACATGATCAAATCAGTGGAAAAACAAAAGTGAAAATTGAAGAGCAGCAAAAATAAACCCATGCATTCGTATTTCGTGATCGTAATTACCACAAGCGAGAATGCTGAACTCATTCAGTCGAATGAATACGATATCTGAGTTGATGAAAACCAAACACATAATTATTACAAATCAATAACGCAAAATCACAATATTCACAACAGAGTTTCGTGAATAAAAAGAACGCCATGTTCTATAAACCCTATGGCAGTTCATTGAATACGTATTTTTCAGTAATTACGCATAGTACAAAAAGAGACATACCCCAACAAACATTTTTAATCGCTTAGTTCGTACTGTTAGCAATGTGAAATAACAATGGGCAATACAACTTAACAGAAGGTGTACCTGTGAGGCCAATCTCATTGTGATCCGTTGGTTCAGTGTACATTATTGCGATCAGTATTTTATTTTCGATAATTCTGTTTATCTGTGAAACAAGGATCTATTCATATATACCTAAACAAGAAGTTCTCGGAAGAACTATTATATATGTAAGATTTGAGGCTTTCACGGCGGTGACTATGAAGAAAGCAGTCTTCTGGGATTTGGCACCGTGTATATGTGGTGTTAACCGACGTTTCGGAGGAACGTATCGCCTCCATCTTCAGGGTAGAAGAAAAAAATATAAGAAATCTGCAGGCGGAGAGACCGTGAGAACCGGTAAAAGCAGACTGTCTGTCACACACAGTCTTCTTATATTTTTTTCTTCTACCCTGAAGATGGAGGCGATACGTTCCTCCGAAACGTCGGTTAACACCACATATACACGGTGCCAAATCCCAGAAGACTGCTTTCTTCAACTATCATATACTTTCTTTTAATACAAGGAACGCATTGAAAACGAAAAAAAGAAATGGGTGGGATATACAGTAAGATAACGCACACGTCTCTGATTTACTTATTATAAAAAAGAAAGGATTTGCAAAAGGTAACGAAACATGAGATACAAGCTCTGAAATTAAGCTGTTCCAGTTTATTATACCAACGAAATGTCGAGAGCTGACATGTTTTATGAATGCGAATTATGCAGTAAGTCACGAATGACAGAGCGGTATTTTGTTCCACAGTATCGTGTCTATTCTGTGATTTACGATAATATTTTGATATGGACATGTGAAGTGTAGCATACCACATAAAGAAGACGATTTGCAATTATTCGTGTGTTTAATTCGTGGGAGATGACGTTAAACGTCGACACAGAAGCATCATTCGATAAGATGGGGAACTGGAAAGGAATACGTGACAACGCAGGGAAAATTAACGGCACGAAAGATTATGCAAGAAATGAGATTTCCTCGTTGAATTCTCATTGGGTGTTAACATTGCTCTGTAATATTAAATATCTGAATCAAGGAGTGCAGATGCAGTTGCAATTATCTGCTTTCAGACGCACTGCAGTTGAGAAAATGGAGACATCTGTGTGTGTGTGAGAGAGAGAGAGGGGGTGGGGGGGAAGCGTGTCCTGTGGTTTGATGAATCCAGTGTGTGAAACGTGTGCAACGATGCTACAAGACGCAACTGTGGCATCCTTTTCGCGTATTTGAATATGCTACATTTAACTGTATCGGTGTGAGTTCGCTTTTGGAGTTCTGGATGGGGTTTTCACTACAGATCGGCATTTTTGTTTATTGATGATATTTTTGAGGGGCGTACTTTTTACACAAATATCAAACAGCTAGATAAAATGACCTGAAACAAAACCAAAAGATTTCTCAAAGCAGAAATAAATATTTATAAAACAACAGATAGTGGACTCACCATGATCTTAACCAAAAGAAAGAAGAGCGTCCCAGTTTAGAGTGCCAAATGTTCGACAATTAAACTGAATATCAACTGTAATAAAAAAGTTACAGCTATCCCTACAACAGGTCGTGTACAAAGTTTAAGTTAAATTAATTTTTTCATTGCAAAGTTAAGATGAGATAAAGGGCATGCGGTAGCGTAGTTGGTTGAGGCATTATGCTACAAGCCGCAAGATCGCAGGTTCGATTGCCTATGAGGTCACTGGATATTTCAATTGACCTAATCCTTCCAGCCACAATATGGCCCTGGGGTCGACTCAGCCTCTAACAGAAATGAATACCAGGAAACTCCCTGCGGTGTAAAGCGCGGCCGGCGCGTAAGGCTGATAACCTCACCGCCGTCTGTGGGTCGATTTTCTAGAATATGTGGGAGCCTCTAAGTCTCAAAACCATATAGGCCTCCAATGCCTGTTACAGGGATAGCTTTTTGTTGCAGCATATGCTATTGAGACACTGATGAAGGTTCAGGAGTTCTTCACGTAATCCTGAGTTTCTAACTGGAGACATACATTAAAATATTACTGACCTAGGTTGAGGTACTTCTTGTGGACGGCCTCGTACGCTGTCCATTCGATGTTTTTGAAGCGATTCCTTTCTTGCCTCACCCCATGCACAAGGTCCGGCTCCTGAGGCTCATTTGGGTTCCTGCACAGCAAATAACTGTCATTACGTCATGGCACAGCTCAGAGTGCTACGGTTTATGGGACATGAACTGTGTCTGGAAAATAAAAGTAACTGCATCCTGGCACTGTTGAAAGTGTCGACACTAGAGGCTACTTCTCATATGTGTTGCATGAAATTGATAATACTAATCACTGAGCACACTCCGTTTTACCTTTACAAATATCTGTATCATTGGGGGGGGGGATCCTACTAAATATCCACAAGTTTTGTTCTGTAATTATTGTAAATTTGAGAAGGACAACACATGACAAATAAGATATTTTCTCATTTTCTTCATATTTAACGAAATACATACACCATATTATTTAGATCTTGAGAATGAGACAGAATTCAACTGATAAATGAAGCCCTAACAGGACAAGATGGACGAAGCATACAGTCCTCAGGCAAGGTTAAGAAATGTATTAAAATGTTATTCGAAAAATCTGAAAAGCAGAAACATCTTGAAAGATGTTACAATATAAAAAAGGAATAGGCAGTAGACTGGGTTAATATGGCTCAGGACAGGGGCCAGTGGCAGGCTCTTCTGAACACTGTAATGAACTTCCAGGCCACATAAAATGGGGAATTTCTTGAGTAGCTTACAGATTATTACATCTCCAGAATGAGTATGCTCCATGAGGTTAGCTGGTTAGTAAGCCCCAGCTTATGCCTCTTTAGGACCATGCAATGCGTTCACATCTCTCATGTATTGACAGGGTCAAGATTGAGGAGTGTCTGGTAAGGACACAGTGGGGTGTCCCACACCATGTGTGAGATAACCGAACTTCTTCAGTGAAGGGCTCTTGGAAACTTGCTAGAGACCTACTGGCCTTGGCCAGGAAACAGAATTGTTAAGTGGCCATCATAATATGGGGCGACACCTCCATACTGCGAACCTCTGGGATGAATACTCCCACAACAAGCTCCGGCTGGGTATAGAATGAATGATCTGATCTGTTGTTGTGGCGGCAGCAGATTTTCAAAGGGTCTTAATCAAACAGGTTTTGGCCCTAGCGCTTACGAGAGGGCTCTTGAAGGGACGACCGGAGGCTCTGCCCCCATGGCAAAACTAAGGACTACGCAAGCCTAGCTTCTTTACAATTGTACGTTGAAGTGTAATGCCCTAGCGGCGCAGGGGGGGAATGGAGGTATCCCTCCCGCTGCTGCCGCCGCTGTAATGCCGTGGTACAGGGGGGCGTGGAGTCAGCCCGCCTCTGTCACCCTGGTAACTCCGCATGTAGGGGCCGTGGAGGTATCCTTCCTCGCCTCCACTAGTTATGTCGTAAACTGGTACTCCTGGTAACGTCGCGCCGCCGGGGGTGTGCAGGTACCCCTCCTTGCCTCCACTGGTTATGCTGTAAGGCGTTAACGCAACCATCCTAGCTTACCCTTAGCTAGGATTTTCCTATATCGGAGTTTCCTTCTGTCATACAAGCTGCCACCATCTATTTTCTGTTCTTTCAATTGTTGGTACTACTCCCTGACAAATATTCGTGCCCCTTCTTGACCACTCCGCATATGGTTTACAGGTAGCCACGTAATCCCTTAATATTACACTTTATCTTCGGATCTTGGGAGGGCGTTACTATCAAGGCTCCCGTACTCTGCCTGTGTGGCAGGAGCCTATCCCTGCCTAT